GATCTAGAGCCGGCTTTCACCGCGTGCCCATCAGCTTCGTTGCCTCCATCCCAACCTCTGCAAGTTCGTTTTTGCAACTCATCACAGAGTGAGGAATCAGCCTAACACCCTCAGGTACTACAAGAAAGCAACGCCAGCCTTCCCAGTGGGAAAGGAGACACTCCACGATCTCCTAAACCACAACCACCCAGTTTCCAAGTGCAGCCCCCAGCTCTGCACCCCGCCTCCATGGGAGGAACCGGAGCAATCGTGGGGAAGTTTGTCACCGTAATGGATGATGACATGGCACACGGCTCCCGAGACAGGTGAGGCTGCATCAAGCGGAACAAATCTGTATGGATGGTGCGTTCCTGCTGGGGCGGGCAAAGGCTTCCTCCTCTGACACGGTGATTTATATATTTGCAGCTCTTCCCTGAAGAGTAGTGCCCCAGCATGGGTCATTGGAGCCCCTGCTGAATACACCTTCTCGGTGCTGGGAAAGGAGGATGAATAATGCTTTGGAAAGGAAGATGCTGTGAATTTAACATTTTGGCGGACAGCTGAGAAGCTGTAATTTTAAAAAAAAAAAACAACAAGAAAATGCACAAATAAATGTTACGTGTCAAGGTATCAGTGTGAGACGTTACCACCGGTGTCCTTTGGAAGTGGTCCCAAACCCGGAGCTGTGGGACAGCACTGAGCTTGAAGAGGTTTGAAGACCTTTCGTCTCTCTTGTCCTGCCTTTAATTACAGCTGTGCTCCGTATAGCACTTTTTAAATCATGGGGTGTCAGCTCTACTCCAGCTTAAAAATTAGATTAGGCTGTATTTATTTTTTGCCTTTAAGGCAGCCACGTCCTGCACTCATCTGGTGCCTTCCTCTGCCAAGGCATCTCGAGGAGATTTTTAAGTGATGGGCAATAATATACTAATAACCGACAACCTTTCCAGTGCCAAGGTCTCTTCCTCCATCTGCTGTGTTTTCAAGAGCCCGTCACATGGTGAAGACATCCCTGTACAGGTACATTCCCATCTTTGCCTTCTTCCCCGGAGAAAAAGGAACCAAGGGAAACGGGCATGGGAGAAGCTGTGATTTCTGCAAAAAAAATACTCAGGGTGGAGATTGTTCCTCTAATCTAAGCGCTCCTCGCCAAGAAGTTAGAGAAAACAAAATGACAGATTGAAAGCCTGAAGGTTTGTGTAGGCTTGACCTGTTGTTCTGAACTTCTGCGTGTTGGGGAATCATTGGGGAGCCAGCTTTGCTGTACTGAAACTGCATTTTAAGGGACCCTTGAAAACATACCTCCAGCTGCATCGTTTTACATCGAGCGCCCTCTTGCTGTAGAGGAATTGAGTCATTTTAAAAACTTAGGTGGGGTTGCATGAGGCAATAATCCCAAAGGGATTACTGGGATGACACCTCTGGGTCTGCTTATTCTCCGTCACTCTGGGCTGGTGGAAGCCCTACGGTCAGAGCGTAAGTTATACCTGCGCTGGAGCTGCTTTACGGTATCTGAAGCTTCAGCACAACTGAGAATAAGGACCATATCAAGGAGTAATGATAAATGTTTGCAAAATACATTAAAGATAAAACCCACGGTGTTAATAACGAGTGGTGCTGCTCTGTTTTATCCTATTACCTCGACAGTAGCTAATGGACAGCAAGTTGTAAGAAGGAATTTCTTTTTATTTTTAGTAGCATTAAGACTCCTTTAAAACCTTCACCCCGATGTGCTGTAGGAGAAATGAATCACACCCTCGGCGTGATGTTAGGATTCAGCACCACGCAGCGTTTTCAGGTGCGAGGAGATGAATATTGTTCTGTGGATGAGTTTCCTTGTTAGTGTGGGTTTTTTTAAAAGGCTTCATTGAAGTGTCTTGCCATAAAATTATGCTTTGATCATATCCATTTGCTGTTAATGAATCCAGATGGGTTAGAGGCAACTGGATTGTAACTCTGATAATACGTGCGCTGCCTTTCATTTTCTCGCACGGAGTTTCAGAAGATCCTGCGCTGGCCCAGCTAACGAATCCAGCTATATTAACGTGGCCTAATGCATCCTAATACATAGTGTCCCCAGAGACACATGCAGATGTGTCAGGATTGCTTTGGAAAAGGTTAAGATGTTACAGAAAAATAGCCATTACATATCTGGGACTGTCTTCTTTCATATGGTAATTGCCTTTTTTCTTCTTTTATTTTTTTAAATCGTGCAAGTAGCTTTGTATTTGCTTTAAATCAAAAGATCTTATTCTAAAATCAAGATATTGGCAGGAGCTTAGCTGTGATTTTAATGTTGTTGTAGAGGAGAAAGTAAGTGGGAGAAACTACGTAGAAACCAGCAATACCTTCTCTTTTAACATACAGTCTTTGGATTTTTAAGTTGTTTGCTCAAATGTTGAGTTACGTAAAGAAATGGAAATGGAGCAGATCGAGACCAGGTTTGATTCCTCTTCGTGTGGTTGCACATCCAACACATGAAGTTTGCTGTCACACAAGGATGCCTGGAAGGACAGATCCTTCCCCTGGTAAGCTAAGAGAGATCAATTAATAGCATGGGTCTGCTGAAAATCCCACCCACCTCTCACCGGTGAAATACCAGGGGAAAAGGAAAAGTGTGATTATCCGTGCAAAGAGGAGAAAAATTGCTTTTGTATTCCAGGTTGCTACATGAGTTAGGAAGGATTTTATTTTTTTCTTCCCTCTGTATAAATGTTAACTTTAATGCCTCACCCTTAAGGATCAGGATCAGCCCCCAGAAGGAGACTTGGATTTGGATTGAAGCTGCGCAGCAGCTTCTGTATTTTCCATTTGTGCAGCCAGAGATGTTCTCGTATCTCACATCAGCAGGTTGGAGAGTCGCCTTTTCCTCTGCTGACAGACAAACACTGGCCATGGGAGCACCTTTAAGCCATCTAGGTGCAAAGTGAAGCGCCTCTGCTTAACCCCCTTGCGCTGATTGTGGTCGTTGGTGCTTGAAGGTTGAAGGACAGCAGCTCCTTCACCAGCCCAAATGCAATGAAGGTGTGATTATGCCCTACCTTTAGCCCGGTGGATCTAACGGAGCTAATTTCCCCAAATTACTAGATAATTTTCCCACCGCATTTATCAGCCCAACCTACGTGGTCTTGAGTTTACTCTCAAGGGAAAGGTGCCAGATCGGTCTCCCATTTTAGTGGCATTTGGGTGGGTTCTTATCCCCGCCAGCAGCTGAGCAGGGATAGCAAAGAGCCTGGGCGACATCTGAATCCTACAGCTAATGAGCTGTGCTCACACCTCGGAGCCCATCAGTATGAAAACAGCATCCGTGGCTGCTGCAGCCTCTCTACGCAGCTGTCTGCTTCGTTTGCTTGCGATGACTCCGGGTTGCAAGTCCTTTAGGGTTGGTTGTTCTCCTCCGTGCGTATCAAGCCCAGGGTGGGATTGAATATTTATTAAAACACAGATACTTGTAATAACAGGAGAAGCAGCATAAACAAGAGCATCTGAGAGGCAGCTACCCCAGACTACACTTTTGTTTGGACAAAATAATCCCAAATTGTGGCTAATTACAATATGAAAGATCGGTTAATTCCTGTGATTTGCTTAAGAGTAAGCTTAATAAGATACAAGAGCAACCAAAGAGAAGTTTGGGTTTTTTCCTCCAAGTACAGTTGCGAGCCAAGGACGTATCAGGAACAGCACAGGCGGTGACTAAGCCTTCATTGAAACCCCCACATGCTAAGGAGTCATGTGTGCTCTGAATGAGGATGAGGTTTGCAGATGCTTTTTTACCAAATCAGGGACAGGTAGCTGAGCAGAATCAATTCCTGTCACTCAGGGATTGCTCTGGAGGAGCAGGATTATGGATCAGGGCGATGCTGCCGCACTTTAATCTGGAAATCAATAGAGAGATGGAAGTTGGGCTTGTGGGGATATGGCAGAGATGATGATTTGGGCTTTGATGAGATTTTGCTCTGCAAACAACTAAGTCACTAACTGCTCTTCACGTCCTGATTAACACAGAGAAAGGGCTAAATTCAGCCTTGATGCAGCTCTCTCGAAGTCCCTGGGGTCCCCCCGTATAATTTGAGTCCAGAATTTCTCAAACGAACCAGGGCTCCCAAATGCTTCAGTCTCCTTCTTTGCCTTTGCACATAGCTGAGGAATAACCCTTCACTCTACCGAGCCTAATATTAATTCAATTTATATCAACCTGGGACTTTGATAACCTTCCTTCTGTCTTGTTTGTAGCAACCAAATTAAATACAGCAGGCAATGTTATAAATACAAACCGCACCAAGTCACCTTGGGGTGCCTCAGGAATTCCAAAATTCATATGGGACTCTTTAAAGCTCAGACGTTATCAGATATTACGGTACCTCCTTCTGCAGGCTGTCCAGACTTGCTCATCTGTAGGATGTGGAGCAGCATTTTCAGTTTACAGATTTGCCCTGTTGTTCCTATGATTGTAACACACTGCTTGGGGTAACAAAAGGATTGTAAGGTGCTGCTTAAACCTCAGCCGCCGGCAGAAAGCTTGTGCCCTGCACATGCAGTTTGTATGAATGGGAGTGATGGGTGAAATCCCCGGTCATTAGGATAGTCTGCAATCTGTGAGTCCAGAGTTATTGGTGAGGCTGAAAGGCTCGGGGTTTGCGAGTCCAAGCAGAGCTCAGTGAAGCTGCGTGTACCTGGTTCCTCTAAAAATCACACTTCTGCATTTTGAGGTTTCATCTAGTGAAGGAAAGACCTGGTGAACTCTGCTGGTCCTGACCCACTGGCTCAGAAGTCAAAACTTTCAGCCCTGATATTCAAACCCCTAAGCCACCCCTCTTCATCTCTTGCATGGTTTCTGCTTTTTCCTTGTTCGTTCTGCTTTACATCACTCAGTGGCATGGACTGCTCCAGCATCTGCTCAGTGTCGGGGAGCATCAGCTGTACAGTTGCATCTGTGACGCTAATTAGCAAAACATGAGAAGACTGAAATTAAGATATACGCCGAACCGCTATTCATACTTGTGCTTTTCTTTCTTTTCCAGAGCACGGTGATTGTGGAGAAGACCGTTCAAGACCTGATGAACCTGATGCACGACTTGAGCGCCTATTCGGATCAGTTCCTCAACATGGTGTGTGTGAAACTCCAGGAGTACAAGGACACCTGCGCCCTTGCCTACAGGTACAGGAAGGCTTGGAAACCGATGTATGCTGGAGATACTGCTCTTGGGCTTTTGCTATTTTGACATGAGTAGGAAGGAGTTACTTCTAGAAACCATCCCTGCTGGGACAGTCAAGGATATTTCTTTCTAGGTGGGGAAAAAATCTGAAATGGCGATCATTGGCACGTGAAGAATCTTGGTTTCCCAGTGACTTTGTCCACATCACACTGGTTTAGGCTCTTTTAAGGTGGATGACAGTGGTAGTAAAGCTTAGAAATCGCACGGCTTTTCTCTTAATCAGGCAAAAGGTGACTTCAGGTTGGAGATGGAGAGTATAAGGCATCATCTTTAACGTCAATCCCTGTATATAGCTATTGCTTTCTTGTAAAGCAAGTCAGGTCCTTCCATTTGAGTGTTCTGAAGAGATTCAGCTACATTTTAATTCATTATATTGAGGTTTGGGTATTCAGATCTTGTGGCAACGTAGGAATTAGTAACCACAACACACCATATAAAAACACACACACTGGGTTTTGTGAAACTTTCCCAAAACCTTCCTGTAAACTTTTTCTTTCAAGGCGTTATCAAATGCTCTATCCTGAGCTGTCTTTGTTTATCAGCATTTTCGGGCGATCTGTGATCTGCTTCCCCAACCACAGCATGGAAGCTGAATGCAGCGTGGTCCCACTGGGCACGGGGTTATCACGCCAGGATGCGGGCTTTGAGTCCTTCGGGTACTTGCTTTATCACAGATTTCCTGGGTAACCGTCGATAAGTAACTTATTCTCTGCACATCCCAGTTGCCCATCTGTAAAATGGCCCTCCCTGGAGAGCGGGGCCAGGAGCGTGCCCCGCGCCGCGGGGATAAATACTTGCATTGAAAGCCACTAAAGATGCTGCGGCAATGTGGGCTATAATAGCTGCTATACATAATCTCCTTTAATGGCTAATTGAGGCTGGCGATAGCAGGGGAAGCTGAAACAGCCCCTTGTGTTTTCTGACCAAGAGCATTAAGAAATTATTTCCTATTGCCCGATTTCATTCAGGAGAAGCTTCATCTGGCAAGCGACTGCGTACGGGCTCATTATCGTTATTAATAACACCAACAATAGCAGTGAGCACATATGTGGGCTAAACTTCGTCTGAGCGCTCGTGTAAATCGGTAGCTGTGCGTGTGCCGTTGCCCAAAATGGTCATATTTTATATGAAACTTCACTGGCTTGAGCCAGACAATAGATGTAATTTCTTTGGCTTGAACTTAAAGGTCCTTCCTTCCTTCCTTTGCTGATACCATTCCTGGATTTGGCACCTGCTGAGGAGTAATTAGGACAACCCCAATTTGGCAATATCCTGATTACAGCAGGAGGAAAAACAGGAAACGTTCTAGTTTTGCTGCTAGCAAATGACTGACTGAAATAGAAATCTATATACATTTCAAATGATGCAGAGGAATGTAGCAGCTACCCGGCTTTCCCAGGGCGAGCGGTTCGATCCGTGGGGACGTTATGCCCTCTGCAGGGATCTCGTGTCGGTACGGCTCCGCGCAGCCTTGCCCTTTGGACCAGGGTTTTCCTTGGGGGGTTGAGATGGATAAATCCTCATGTTGGTAAAGTTAGTGGAGGAAGGATCATTTATAGCTGCTTAAAATCAGAATAAACTCCCTAGAGCTGTGTATTAATACAATCGGGCGAAGCTATCGAAGCAAGCGGGGGGGGGGGTGTCTGTTCTTGAGATGTCAAGATAGTGAGAATTTGGGAAGCCAGAGAGGTGGTTTATGCGAAATTTGCACATGGCATTCATTCGTTCCCCATGTGCCTGTGTTTCTTGAAGGGGAATATGAGCAAACGTGGATGAAATGTATTCAAATACAGGCTCCTCAAAGCAAGGCTGTTTTATTCGGAGTCCTTTGCAGAACAGATAGCTCTGTCAGGACATCAGCGCTCAGAAATGCACAGCTGAGATTTTTCATGTTTGATTTCCATTTGGCTCTGATTTTCTAGTGAATGCAACAAAACCCTGACGGGGCTGGATATGAACGGATTGGACATTTCTATAAGTAGCAACTATGGATTTTCTTGTTTTAATTGATGACAAATTTCGGAAGCGTATTTAATCTGATCTAGGTGAGATGTCTTCTGCAAATTACATGTTTGTAAGAAGTGCAATTTCAATTTGACGCAAGCTGTTTACAAATGTGAGTTATGTTTTCTGACTCGTTTATGAGGGGTTGGGGATTAAAATGAAAACAAAAATGGGAGACAGAGCCACAAAACCTCCTGCTGTGTTGGCAGTGCTTTTCTTAAGTCTTGTCCAGCCCACATCTAGCTGCTGCTTCAGCAAATTTCTATGAAAGCAGCTCTACTCATGAGTTAAGCCTGTTTAGTTAAACCATTTTTGGGAGGCTTTGGGAAATACTGAAAGGCCATAGAAGGAATCACAGGGACAGGGAAAAACCTGACCAGTTCGGGGTAGCTACCCTTAACATGAGTCTTTCTTTTTAGTCTCTTGCCAACACCCTTCTCGGACAAGCCTTGCTGTCTTGAGCGCTAAAACTAATCTCTTTCCATGTCTTTCTACAGAAATTTGCCCCATGTTTAGTTATGTTCACATTGAAGTTGCACATTCTTATTTTGTTGCCCAAGTTTAAGCTCTATCCTGTGTGACCACCTCCTTCTTATCAATCTTCATCCTCTCTCCCTTGAACAACCATCCTCTTGCACATTTTTCAACCTAGCTGAAGAGTCTGAGTAAAGGCACCTGTCACCCAAATGACTCTCTTTAGTCTGTAAAAAGAGATGGACGCCTCCAAGGAGTGATTCGCCTTAATTAAAATGTGCCTAAACTCTCTGGAGGTGCCCAGCTCTCTCCATCGGCTGTGAAGGCAGCTTATGGTGACCAGCCTCCTGGCAGAACTGTCTCAGCTAAATCTGTAAAATTAGGTGGGGTAAAACTGGGCCTAAATCTCTCCAAATGATGGAGGAAAAAAAAAATCACAGTTCCTGCTTTCCAGACAAGCAAAATAAAACTAAGCCCCTTTTTATCGATAAGGAAATGAGGAGCAGATTAATTCATCCAAGGTGTGGGGTCTGCGGTCAAACAGGATTTCTCGAGTCCCCAGGAAACGCTCTTGCCACTCGGTTTACTATTTCTTATTGGCTTCTTCCCCTTCTTGCATTAACCTTTTGGTTTTTAAGTTGTCTTTTTGACTCTTTTTGGGCAGGGGTCTGTCTCCCTCAGACTGTTAGGTACCTGGCACATGCTGAGCACGCTGCTTTTAAACTCTTAGCAGTGTGAGCAGTGCTGAGCATGGAAACATCATCTCGGCCCTGGGAAGAGAAAAAAATTACTCAAAAATACGTTTGGCACACGGCAATGGAGTCCAATTAGCCCCTGTGGCCCCCAGATGTTTTCCTAATGAAAAGCCATGGCCCCCCAGCTGTGTCCAGGGATGTTCCCCATCACTCTGCTCCCAGCTCGGGGCGGCGGTGGTGCAAATCTGGGACCATTACCACCAGCAGATGTTTTCTGGATAAAACCCACTGAGCTGTGGAGGGATGAACCCTCCTCGCTCATGTGCCGTCACCTGTGTAAGTGTTATACCTATTCCCTACCCGCTCCCGGGAGCTGGGTACAAACAGATGGCATTTTCCTTGGCCCGTTGAGCTGTGAATTAATTAGTTGATTATGGCACTGGTGGTAGCAAGTAACCCTATTACAGCAGCAGGAATAATTACATAGGAGTTTGGGAGAAGGGGGGGTGTTTGAAAGGAAGCGTTCTGAGCTGTACTAAAACATGTCATCCTGTCTTGTGATAATTTACTTGAGGACCCGAATTAGGTTGACATTGATAAGAAGTTACGGAGGTTGAAAACTGGCTGAGATGCTAGAAAGAGAAGGTGGGGGAAAAGGATTTTTTAATTGATGGGGAAAGCTGAGCGTCTAACGGAGATCAGGGTATGTACCACCCTATTAACATCTTCCTTCATGAGGGGGTGTTTGGAGTAAAACCAACCTGTCAATAAAAATTAGGAGGTGTTGCAATCATGAGAAAGAATGGGGACATAATTCCAAGGGACGCACATAGTGGAGACAATGTCCCAGCATCGATTAATTTGAAGCTCCCTGTTGATTTCGATGGAGAATTTGGCTTAGGGCGCCAGCGGCTCATGGACCCGTGAGTGCCACATGGTCAAAAGGTGAGAAAAGCAGGAATCGTGTGGGTTAGGCTCTCAGAAAACACTGACCCTAGAAAAGCAAGGACACCAAGCTCAGTTTGCAACTTGCTATAGCAGCTAAACAGCCTCCCCTCCCCCAACACCCACTCCACAAAGCAATAGGATTTTTGAGGACAGCAGATAATAAAGATCATAAAACAGAGAGGTAGCTCCGTCCTCTGTATAACTCCATCAGAAGACTCCCAGAGATGACTTGCATTCGTAGACATCTGAAGGGCTATGATAAGGCTGTAAATAATTGAAGAGAGTAAAAGTGGTGAGTGCTGAGGCTGCTGTAAGGGGAAATAACGGAGTAATGGGGTGAAATTGGGTAAAATAAAACGCGAGCACAGTATCAGCATTTTTTTTTTTGTCCAAGAGTTAGATTTGTTCAACTGTGAAATAGACTCCCAAGGGAAGGAGACTATTACTTTAGTCATTTAAATCTGGAGAGGACAAAGCACTGGCTAATATATTCAATGGAACAGTTGTCTTTCCTTGGCATAGAAATGGCCAGATATCATCAAATTCAGTTTTTCCATCTCAGATGTCAGAGATTCTGGTGGAGCTTTTTTTTTCCCCTCGGTTTTCACCGGGGTGAAAAAAGAGACCTTTTTTCGTAAGTGGAAAAACACCAAGTTCTTAACAGCAGCAGAAGGCCAAATTGAAATTTTGACACCGAGGTCTTCTGTGGCTGGAAACAAAATTCATTCTTTTGTCTGTGGCAGATTGAACATGAAATTTAAAGAGAAGGAAAATTTATGTGTAAGTGCATGTGACAAATTCATTTTCACAAATCGTGTGTACTTACTGAGCAGAGGTTGTTTTCTTGGTGGTAGGTGAAAGGAGTGATAGGTTGCTCTGTGCTGGTGGGAAAAGAAGTAATCTGCTCTGTTTCAAGATAGATCAGCGTTGGCTCCTATCTCAATGCCTTTTTCACTATTTTCCTTTTCAAAACGCAGATGCTCAGTGTGTTGTTACCTTTATTTCTATTTATTGACCAAAACATACCTTTCAGGAAATTTAAAACGAGACCGGTTAATCCACATAAACCCCTTAGAAACGTGCGGGGGTCTTTATGTGATCTTGCATGACCCTTCCCAAAATCACCACCTGAATGCTAGTGACAGCTCTGAGCATCTGTTTGCCCCATGCAACATCCTGGCTTGGATCCAGAAGTGTGCAGCCGAGTAAACGAGAGGTTCAGACTGGACATCAGGAAGCATTTCTTTACCGAGAGGGCGGTCAAACACTGGAACAGGCTTCCTAGAGAGGTGGTCGATGCCCCATGCCTGGCAGTGTTTAAGAGGCATTTGGACAATGCCCTTAACTTTTGATCAGCCCTGAACTGGTCAGGCAGTTGGACTAGACAATCGTTGTAGGTCCCTTCCAACTGAAAAATAGTCTATTCTAGTCTATTCTAAATGGCTCTGCAGGGTCCACATTGAGCTGAGATGGGCTGAGCCAGCAGAGATACGTCCATACTGCGGCACCCAGCAACTCCAGTTCTTGGTTGACAGATCCAGTGTTGAATCTCTGCATCTTTTTGATGCACAAAGTTTCCGTCCATGTTGGAGAAGCCATTTCTTTTGGGGGACAGTAACAGAAAAAGATCTGTCTGGCATTTACACTTCTTCAGCCCCTTGCATTGCAGGACACAGCAATGCATTATTTCTAGGTGTCTTGTAGCCTTGTGAGCAAGGGGTGGTGGGTGTTTGAGGGGCAAACACAGGTCCCGGAGCCCTTTCTGTGTTTTTGCATAGTAGAAGGTGATCAGTCTCTTAGCACATGAGGGACATCTTGATTCTGTTGTTAAGCTGCAGCTAAGCCTCTCCATAGGAACAGGACCTCTGAGACCTTGTCTTTTCAGATGCTTCCTTCCTCAAGTCACACTGTGCTGGTTGTTCGGTGGGTTTGTCATGTTCCCATTACAGAGAGCAGAAAAGATCCCACTGCTGCCCATCAGAGAGGTCACCACCATGCTTTTGCTTTGAGTGATGTGGACGGGTGGCACCTGCTTCTTGGACTGGAGAAGCAGTCCAAACTGGTCACCATGCAAGGACCTCCTAGAAGAAGAACCTTCCAGATGCTCACCAGAGAAGGAAATTGGTGATAGGATCTAGAAGGAAACACCAGCAGCCCTAACTCCCACTTGCCTTTTCTAAGAGGTAGAAAAACACCTCCCAGATCCTTGCGGTCTACTGAACAACCCAAGAGTGGGAGGGGACTTTCCTCTCTCTGCTCACCAGTGTGCCAGTGAAGTAGCAAACATTGACGAGGACTATGCTGATGGTTGTTCCTGAGCAATCCTGACACAAAAAATAGGCAGCTAAGTGATTCCTCCAACTACAGCATCCCGTTTGTCTCCTGCAATTGCCAATGAGGATTCCAGATTAGTTACGCTGCCAAAAATATTAAACAGGGAAAGTCTTCCTAACTGGAATATGCTGTGAACGGTTGGACTTGATGATCATAAAGGTCTTTTCCAACCTAAACAGTTCTATGATTCGATTCTATGATTCTATGATCTTTGATTCAATTTCACAAATACATACGATTCAGCTGAAATCTCAATTATTAGATGTTTTGGATGACTGGACAGAAGACCCGGGACCCTTCATTTCCTTTCATTGCTTCAGACCTGGTCCCCAAGCTGGGCCAGCTGGTGTGCGGTGAGCTGGTGGCTTCCACCCAGGTCTTCCTGGGCAGGTTTCCACGTTGCAGTCACAACACAATCAGCAGCAGCTGGCGAGCTCGATTGAGATTGCAGAAAACAAATGAGCCACGGAGAAACTACCTTCTCTCTCTTCTAGTACAGAATTACCTCCTCCGGTTGTGTAAATGGTTGCAAGTTGAATGATTTCAAGGGTGGGGAGAATATAGCCTTTTTTCCCTTGAAGGACTCTAGCAAAGTACATCAAGAGTTGTGAGTTTGAGAGAATTTTATATCCTATCCACCCGTGTTGCCGTGCTCTCCACACGAGCTCTTTGTTGAGTTCCTCTTTGGACCCCTTCCTTAATGCTTAATGCACATTTGTATGTGATAGGGATTTTAATGAATATGTGCAGAATTGCGTGAAAAGTACAATTTGCTTCGCACTGATGTGGTTGTTGCTACTTTCCCTGTAGGAGCATCGTGCAGTCAGATGAAAAGCTGGTGATCAGCGCGTCCTGGGCTAAAGACGACGACATTAGCAGGCTCCTGAAATCTCTGCCCAACTGGAGCAACATGGCTCAGCCCAAGCAACTGAGACCCAAGAGAGAGGAGGAGGAAGACTTTATAAGGTAAAATATTGTATGAAGTTGTAAAAGGGTTTCAAGGAGAGTAGCAACAATGGTAAAACCTGCTGGAAACAAAGTAATTACGGTGTTTGCATAGCTGTTGTGTCCCCAGGTTTGAGAAGAGGTTGGGATGTGGTCTTTCCTCAAGTGGAATTAGGAAACTTGAGTCCACGTGCCGTTACGCTGCGTGATTTTAAAGCCAGGTACCAGCTTTGCTGAACCGAGAACTTCTTGTGCGTTGCCTGGATTTGGTTCTGTTGAGAACGAGAAAGCGTTAGGGAAATTAATCTGTTTTGGGGATGTTTCAGGGCTTTGCTTATCAGTCGTACGACGGATTGGTGGATAAACCATCCTGAAGCTCTTTGCCCTTCAAGAGAAAGGAAAAAGCAGAGCTGCTCCTCAGATGCAGCAAGGGCAGAAGAGAGGGAGGCCATAGTTCAATAAGGAGGCTTCAGTGGCAGCGCCAGCTTGCTGCTTTCCTGACCTTATTGCTCATTTCTGCTCACTCTTGTTGCTCAGACGTGGATATTTGAAGAATCGTGCTTGTGAAACGAGTCAGGAAAGTGGCTGGGATTGGGGAGGGAAAGGAAGGGTCATTTTTAATTCAGGTAGATCCTTGTCCAGGTTGATGGTGCTTACCCTGATCACCCATGCAATGAAGAGAGCAGCAGTCTGTGACCTATTGGAGGGGCCAACTGGTTGTACTGGGCAGGAATTCCCAGAACTGGCGTCACCAAAGCTGTCCTCCATTTGAGCCATGACCTGGCGGTGTTTCTTCTCCGTCCCAACCCCAGGAGCTATGCAGGGAGAGTCAAATGAAAAATATTGGTACCTCCAGAGGGGATTCTTTCAGAGGCAACTTACTGTGTCCAAAACAGATTGTTTCTACCTTTTCTTTTCAGGCAAGTGAAAGCCTGTAAGTAGGCAGATTGCCTTTCCCTGCACACTGTAAATGGCTTAGTCTGAATTGTTGACGCATCCTGAAGAAACAGGTCCTCTTTGTCATTCCAGCGAGTCAAATAGCTTGTCTGCACATTCCCATCACTATTCATCACTTTCTTGATTGGCATTTGGCTATAAAACTGTAGGAGTAAGTGAAGCTGTTGAAAATTAAAGTCTAATTTGCCCAGATTGTCATTTTACTTATTCACTGAATGCAAGCACAGTAACATAAAGATGATGCAGTCTAGAGAGAGGAACGACGAAGATTATAAAATATGGCTAGTCACAGAAATGTTTGCTCATACTGCAGTGAGGATAATCAGCTTTGCCAGTGTTTTAAAAAATCTTCAGTGATAGTGGAAGGGTGAGGATGCAGAGCCCTTGGGGTCCTTGTGCAGTCCGTGGGTTTTTTGAGATTCATGGATTGAGTCCTAACCTTCATCTTTGCCTTCGCGTTTATCGTTTGTTTCTTGGCACAGAAAGGTGCTGGGATGCCCTCATGGCTCTTACTCTGATTTCTGAGCCATCAGTGTGGGACACCAGAGCTCCCGTGGCTGCAATGCTGGGTACTACTGGCTGAGCGTAACCTGCTAGTGTAAATTCCTGGCCAGGCTAAATCTGATGGCCAAGCGCAGTCTGATGCTAGCAGTGCCAACATTTTGATCCTAATAGGCATTCTATTCCAATATTGGCATTTTACTATCCATTAATTGAAGTATTTTGTGAAATTGTATCGGAGCTGTTGGAATGGAAAGCCTGTTAGGTCATCTACATTGAATTCACGGGGAAAAGCTCCTGTACTGTGCCTTTTTTTTTAGCCTAGACATTAAGACAAAGATCTTCTCCTGGTATCTGTTTGCACAGAGCATCATGTATTAAGCCTCAGCTCCTCAGAGCGCCGTGTGAATGCTCCTGTAGCATTAATTTAAATGATCATAATTGGTCTGGGCCAGTTTTAGCCATTGATGGTAAGTGACATGGCTTATAAACTTCGTCAAGAATCCGTGCATGGTTGAATAGATCTCTCCTGAAAGCTTCAAAATAAAATTAATTGCTTGTCCAACTTTTTTTATCTTCTTTCCATTTAAGCAGACTTTTTTCAGACTTTCTCCTAATACAAAGGAACATGATTTCTCCGCCGCTGTTGCTTCTTTCTCTTCCTCTTGGCGCTGCTGATGAATTGGGAATAATTCTCCCGTAGCCATCACTGCCTGAGCACTGCAGTGGAGCCAAAGGGAAATGGGTCCTGCAGATACCTTGGTTATTAGGGTCATGGCTGTGATGGGAGAGCCCGGGAGAGCTCATTTCATTCTCACTTTAACCATCCAAGATATTTAAAATCTTGATATACAGATATCCACCTGTGTTCACAGACCCCACTCCTCAGCTAGCAGGGACAGGACTAAGCATCCTTTCCTGGAAAGGAAGGTTTAAGCTTAGTGAAACATGGGAGCATGCTCTTTTTGGACATAAAACAAGGCTGACAGCAGTGCTTGAACTACTCGGCAGCATCCCTTTATGAAAGTTGCTAAATTAAATATGTCCTGAAAGTTTACCACCAGTTTTTGTACTGTGGCAGGAAGAGATATCAGTGCACAGTTTTCTTTCCCTCCCCCTCCCCAAGTTTCCTGTAACTCATTTGTGTAATTAAAAAGAAGAATCCAAACGCGATGTCTTTGCAAAAAATCCTCATGCATATCTGTGTTGACAGTGATTGATTTTGTTGTCTTAACCCGCCACTATCTCTTTTGCGAATAGATGTCAAAAGGCAGGGTAAGATACTAGCAGAATCTCCCCATTAATATTCTGGTGCGGTTGGCCAGACAAAGGGACCTGATTGAGCATATTATAGTAGCTCAGAACTTGGCAAGGGGAGAAAGGAAAGAAAAGTCATGCCTCTATTCGTATAATTAGTTTTTAAAGCTCTGAAGGCTATTTGGCACTGGGGTGAGTGTGAAATACGCTGCCCTTATCGCTTTAGAAAGGTTAGCCTTCAGTTCATTACTGAATCAGATACGTTGGTGATAAAATCCAAAGATGTATCATTTCCAGGTTTGCCTTTGGCGAGGAAAAGCAATGTAAAAAGAGCTTCAGATATGGTCGCGCTCGAGTTACGGCAGAAATTCTTGGGTTTCGGTGCAGCTCTGCAGCACAAGGGGTGGCAAGGGGCCCTGTGCACCCGAGGGGAACTATGTCTTCGGGGCGCTGAGGAAGGCGTGCTGGCAAGTCACGGGGCAACACATTTGCCTGGAAATCCCACGCTGGTCTGAAGATCACACCACAGCGCAGATTATTCTGGTTGCCGATCTGAGATACCAAACCTGTGTTAGGAGGGGGATGCTGATTTCCCTCTCACCTTTTGACTCCAGCAAGCTCCTGAACACCGAACTTGGGATCAGATTCTCAGGCTAAAGTTCATGGAGCAATAAAAAAACCACTTCTCAGCATCTCCATGTACCACATGACTTTTCCTTTCACTGCTTTTGTTTTTTTAATGAGGATAATCCTGACTGCAGGGTGCTCCACCTGCCTGCTGCTTCCTCCCCTGCATGTCCTGTTCACTTGCGGATGCTCATCCTCACTTGCTCTGCCCCAAAAGGAGAGGGTGTATTTGAGCAACGTGGAAGGATACCTCTGCAACAGCAGATCCTTCACCAAATCATCCCAAATGGCATTGGTCAGGACAGTTACCCTATCCCTGCTGCTTATTGGGATCTCTTCTCTTCCCTTGGTTTAGTTGATGCTGCTCCTCAGATTGTACTTCCAATGTAAAAGTGGAGCCTGCGTGCAGATGCGGGTCTGCTTTGGAAATGTGTCACTGTTGGACAAGACAAAAATGTCAGGCTAAAGGAAGAGAGCAGGGATGGGCTAAAGGGTGTCCCTTCAGAAGGCATGATGGGAGCGAGAAAGGTGCCCTCCGGTTTTGGATATGTATTGGGACTGTGTCGTGGGACCCACTAGCTCGCCTCAGCTCCCTTGGGGCATGCAGCACATCTCACCTGTGCCCTGGGAGAGCACATCATCCACCCAACTGCAGCAAAGACACCGGGGTACCCGCCAGAGAATGAAATCTCCTCTCCTTTCCTTTTCATGGGGCAGAGCGCGCATAGCTGATGGTGGGCGATCAAGCACGTCTGTACTCCAAATGCAAAGCTTTGGTTAGCCCTGGAGCAAGATGCAGAGTTAAAGGAGCTAGTGGTCTGAGGCATGATTTTGCACCGCAGCGAATTAGAAAGGCTCCCATGAGCTCTTCCCCAGAGGGTGCTTGAGGGCAGTAAACTCGGGAGGTTGGTACAGAGCTCCTAGGATCGGTCACAGCTTGAATTACTTCAGCTGTTTCCAAAGGGATCAACATTCTGTAAACTTCCCATTGTGTAAATAAACAGTCTGTGCAAGCCCAGAAAGCAGAATTGGGAATGAGCTGGGACAATTTGCATTGGACCGTCAAGTCCTTCCCTCGGTGCAAAGGGAGAGCCATGATGGCAGAAGCATGGAGTTCAGGTCCTACCTTGGGGTAGGGTGGACTTCTCTTGTTCCACCTCTCTGGGCAGCAAGAAGGCACTGGCCAAAGTTTTCATCAAAAGCTGAATCTCAGGCTGTTCCATCTGCTGCCTGGTGGGTGGTTTTTGTAGTGTTGGGTTTGGAGCTTTCCATTATTTTTATTCTCTTTTGCTGTCTTAGTGCTTCTCCTGCCGCATGATCCTTTTCTGAAACCTTGATGTTTTATGGGAGGCTTTTCCCTTTCTTTACCTCTTAGCTCTCCCTCCCATTCTCAGTTGTAGCTTTTCTGTCTCTCTTTCCTTGTTTCTTTTTCTCTCAAGTATAAAAGATCTCCCTCCAATTTCTCAGGCTCTATTTATTATATTCACAGTACTTTTAAAGGGTGAAAGGATGATTTTGGAAGATTGGCAGCAGGCTGTAGACCTTTTTTCCCTCTACTGGGACTATGAATCTGAGCGTACCATAGGTGTGAGTCATTTCCATTTGATGACAGTCTACTCCTTTATGTGAAATGGGTTTCTAGATCACTCTTTTGGATCCTACGGGAAAATGTGCTTCAT